ATATTCACAATAATCAAACTCAAATTGCATTTTTAAATTTGTTTAAACTCAAGGTGTCGTTTTCAGATTTGACTTTGGTTGACTCTTTTATGCCCCTTGCAAGCAGATCAGTAGAGGAAACATACCATAACATGCGAAATTTCCCTTAGTTTACCATTTGAACTTTGAAGTTCAGAATGCATTGACAAAATAAATTTACCATAAATAATAAATAATAAATAAGTAATAATTATTTAAAATGATACTTATTTTACACTCAATAATTTAATAATAACTGTTATTTGTTTAAGCTTTAGTTAATAATAACAGTGCATGAGGTTTGTTCCAGTGCTATGGCAACAGGAAACAGTACAATATTTTCCTTTAAGCTTTATAAGTTGATACTGCCACTTTGTGTTTGCAAAAAATAAATTACAAATTAATCATTAATAAGAAATTTAGTAAATATACAGATAAAATGGAATTTGTAGGTGGATGGAATCATGGAATATATAATTTTCTCATAGCCTTCAGATTTTTGTTGTTTCCCATAACCAGACCCATCTCCAAAGGGTCATAATTCGAGTGTTACTGTTTAACGTCCCCTATTACTACGTACCGTTCCCTTTGAACTTTTTTTTGGTATAATCAAATTTTTGTTTATTATATAAATTATTTTAAAATTTAGATATTATTATGTTATAAATTAAAATTTATTATCTTATAGTTAGGATTTATAAATTATAATTGATTATTTTCACTACAAAAAAAATGTTATATTCCAACAGAAAATCCTATGGTAATATACTCCAATGGAAATTCTAACGGATATTCCAATAGTATAGTTTCCGTTGGAATCATTCCAACGAAAATATCCCATTGAAATGTATTTTTCATTGCAATTTTAGATGGAATTTGATGATTCCAACGGCTATATTTCAACGGCTTTTGACCGTAGGAATTTCCGTTGGAATATGCAATTTCCGTTGAAATTTTTATTTCCATCACCGTTGGAAAATCTACCGTTTGAATCGTCAAAATCCAACGGAAATTCTAATAGAAAACTCATTCCAACGGAATATTTTTGTTGGAACTTCCGTTGGAATAATTCCAACGGAAATAATAACATTGATATATACATTGGAATTGTCGTTGGAATTCTATTGGAATATAATTCCGTTGGAATTTCATCATTTTCTTGTAGTGTTTATAGAATTTTATTATTATTATTATTATTATTATCTTAGAACTTAGAAATTATTATGTTATATAACATAATACTAATTATCTCTAACAAAATACTAATGAGTGATGTTATTAAAAATTGTAGTCCCCATTTTTTCTTAAATCCGCTCTTTTTCAACTCGGTAATAAATTTTAAAATACAAAATAATATTCTTACTAAAATTTGAAATTCATAAATACCAATTTAAATAACAAATTGAACGAAATAGTCGGATTCTATTAGAGCAATTCATTGAGACCGATTAATTTAGTATGATTAAACCGACTTTTATGACAAGATTGTTTGACACTTTTCTCAGAGTTATATGATTCGTGTGAACATTAGAGTAGGAAAAAAATTGAAGCTCATGTTTAATTTGAGTATTAATGAAAATGCCTGCCGTTGACTTTCATTCTCTAATGGACTTGTATTTAATCGAATCAATTTTATCACGCTTGGGATCATGATATTAGTGTCATACCTAAATTCAATTTCAATGCAGCAGTTAAACCATTAATACTATATTAAGCCTCAACTTTAATTTATCCAACAACGTATCAAAATACTCATCAATAATTGACCACACAACATTATCAGAGTTATATTATTCGTGTGAACATTATAGTAGGAAAAACATTCAAGCTCATGTTTAATTTGAGTATTAATGAAAATGCCTTGCGGTTGACTTTCATTCTCTAATAGTTGACTTTCATTGACCACACAAACAATATCATTATTTTGGTATAGATAGATTTTGGTATCTTAGAGATTTGGTGTATATTATTTTAAGGTTGTCTTTGTGTCTTTATATTCGGCTCTTGTAAATCTGTGTGAAACAAGTGTTTGTTGGGAAATGAATTGTTTTCTCACATTTATCATACCCATATTCCATTAGAGGAAATCAAACTCACTAATTCATTCTATGTTTGGAAGTTTTATTTATTTATTTATTTGATTAAATAGCTTTTGAAGTGAGTGTTGATTGGGACGAGCTTTAGTTACAGTGTGTTATACATATTACACATTATATATAGTTAATATGGGGACTTCAAAATTTGGTGGCACTTAGCCATAGCTTACCTAAACCATCTTCAAGGCTAGCATATTTAATGTTATAATATTTCACATTAAAAACTAAAAGTATACATTTCTATTTAAAAATTACAACCTTAAGCCAGCTTTAGAGTAGTTTAGCTGGATGTTCATCTTGAGATTCACAAACGAGGCGAACCATTACTTACATTTAGACCAGTTTAAATACACATGACTTTTAAACAATGAAATTTTCTACTCTAAAAAAAATCTTACGCCAAAATGGTCACAATTTCGGAGATGTTATATACGAACACAACAAGTTTTTTTATCGTTGGATCACACAAAAAGAAAAATATATAATTCAACAATGAGAATCTCAGTGTGCACTACAAACATAAAGAATGAAATCTACCCTCAAAACCTAAGGAATAAATGTTTGCATCATACATGAATGTCAAAGCCAATAAAAGGGTTCTCAAAATTGGAATCTTTCACAGGCAATAATGTTTACTACTCTCATATTTCCCTAACAAGAAAATGCCAAATTTTACCATTATTAGTTTTCCTAGATTCAAAACAATTCGCAAATTTAAAATTAAACAAAGAATTACTACATGCAACAATCAATTTTCTTTAAACAAGAAAAGAAAGTCTACCACTATTATATTTTAGGGGTTGGGCAAATTTGGCAGGAGATACTATTTCTGTGCAAGTTGTGGGAACCCAAACAACAAAGAAGCGTGTAACAAATAAACAAAAATTAAAACAAATCGTAAAAAGCCTGCTATATTGCAGACTCCTCTTTGTCCTCAGTTAGGCAGAGCAAAACAAAAAATCCCTATTTCAGCATTTCCTCATCAAAAACAAGATAACACAATGTAAGGTCCAAAAATGTAATGCACCATTATTTTCAGACCGTACCTTAAAAAGCACTGGGAGCTATAATAATAATAGCTGTAACAAAAACAAGAAAACGCGCGTAAGCCAAATATAATTAACACAGAAATAAAGCTGCTGACATAAAAACTTGTTGCATTACTTTGGTTTCTTGTTGATAGCAAAATACCACCTTACATGAATACATAGATACGAAAGCATAATTTTCCATGATTCAAAATACAAGAAGAGCACCACTTTCTTACAGTCAATTTCTTACATCATGTAGAGGCAATTCAAAACAAAGCATCATTAAACCCAAATTTAAATACAAGTTTTATCCATATATAATAATTACTTTCTTTTCTTGATTCATATTAGAGCAATTTGAATGGGGGTGAATGAGTCTTGTTTGGTTGGGGGTGTTGAAGAAGGAGAATCAGGCTGTGGTTCTACAATTTCTGAGTTCCAATTTAACTTGGCAGCCACTTCATCTTGCACGGGCACATAATCCTAAAATGTCAGCCAAACAAGGCACATTTGAGATGAAAAATCATAAATACATCAAGAAAGGGAAAAGAGACTCTGAAGATTCTACTCCCCATATATATATGTGCCTATTTGTGCTTGCCATTTTAGTGAAACTTTGAGATTATGGAAAAAAATAGGCATCAATTAACTGGACAAACACATGGACAAGAAATCAATTGATATAATTGAAGATGTATCAATTGACCTCGAGTTTTTGGACAAGCTCTTTGGGATTAGGGGCAGACACAAAGATGTGGCGCTCCGAAGGCTTAATGAAGCCATCATCGACTGCTTTGTCGATAAAAGTCAAGAAGAAGTTGTAGTAACCATCAACATTCAGTAAACCCACCTAATAAACAAAGTTTCAACAGATTAATTAAAATGGATAACAACAAATGAATTGAAAAAACATAAAATAAAAATCGTAGCTAGACTACAAGTTATATATTTCTTCTTACAGGCTTGTCGTGGATGCCTAGTTGAGCCCATGTTATAACCTCTAACAACTCCTCCAAAGTCCCATAACCTCCTGAAACAACACATATTGAACAAAACAAGTTCATATTTTCACACACACACAGACAGAGAGAGAGAGAGAGAGAGAGATTACCAGGCAACGCAATAAAGCAATCGGAATGGAGGGCCATCTCAGCCTTCCTCTGGTGCATATTAGCCACCATTCTCACCTCCCCAACACTTTCACCAGTTTTCTACAAAGTTACATTTCTATAAAGTAAAAATCAAATCTTTACAACATCTAGTTTTCTACAAGATTACATTTTTATAAGGTAAAAATCAAATCTTTACCAAATGTACAGGTTAAAATCTCGAAATAAAGTTTGATAAAAAAACATAAATAAACCTAAAAGAAAAAATAATCAAAGAAGAAAAAAACAAGTATTCCGGAAAGTTCACCTCTTTGCCAACCAAAGGTTTAGGTATGATCCTGCGTTACATTAAACACGATCCAATTTCATTAATTGAGTTTCAGAAAAAAAATCAAAATACACAGAAATAAAAACAACAAAATATATCATCCCATGTTATTCAAACAAAATCATATCCTTAAATCGAAAGAAGAAGAGAAAGGAAAACCAACCCAAGAACATGTCCGCCGCCGGCATGAACAGCTTTTGCGACGAGGCCCATCAGCCCAATACTTCCACCACCGTAAACAAGATCCAAACTTTTCTCCACCTTCATGCAAAACACACACACAACCACGTCATCACCACACAAAACCCATCAAAAATTTAAAAAAACAAAAAAAAAAAATGAAAATATTTTACCAGTTGATGCCCTAGCTCGAGAGCTGCTTCTCTGTAACACTCTCTTTTTCCAGCACTACTCCCACAGAACACACAAACCTTCTTGAATCTTGACTTCACTACTTTTTCATCCATTGCTTTTTTCTTAAAAAAAAAAGATAAGAACTTATTACTGCTATTTTGTATTTCTTTCTTCCGAACTTTTTGTGGAGAGCCCAAAAGCCTATGGAGTTGTGTGTATATATAGCTCAGATCATATGCTTTCTTTTTCCAAAACTAATGATTAAATGGAGACAAAAAAAAATGACGAGAAAATAATAAATGGGTATTTTCTTTTTTCTCAATTTTTACTTTTGTTTTGGGTCTCTGTTATGTGTATATGTCTCGGGCTTTGCGCCTTCGAACCCTGGGCGTACACGTGGATTCTACATTCAATCATATGCGTACCATTTATAAATTTTAGATTTTTTAGTTCGGATTTATCTTACAGACTTAACTCTATTTATTTGTTATATACGCAAAAGGAGACCAAAAGCCTTGTGAGTGTTCTTTAGAACATCCACAATGCTTTGGTTCAATCACAAAAAATCATATGCTACATAATAAATAGATTCAGTCTAAAAACAATTATTTTCCAATGCAAATAAATGTAGACTGGGTCCTGCTGATGTGGCAGACAGAAAAAGAGACCCGGTCTATCCTTAAGTCTATTTTAGACCCACTTAGTCTCTTTGCATTGGAGTAGATTTTGTTAATCATAAATGATTTTATCCATGTCATCTAAGACTTGAGTTTATTTACATGTCACGTAAGTAAGACTAGACTCAATGCATTGTAGATGCTCTTACATAAAAATGTCTAGTTTGCTTACATAACATGTAAATAGATTAAGTCTTGGATGACGTGAACAAAAATATATAAAAGTAATAAAACTTATAATTCCAATGCAAAGAGACTGTGTTTCTACTTGGGTCTAAAAAATACTCAATGGTAGACCGGATCTCATTTTCTAGCTGTCACATCACCATTTCCCAGTCCAATTACATTTGCATTAGAGTATATATTTTTTTAAACATGTCTGTTTTCTACCATATTGTTTAACACATAACATAATCAACTTTAAAATCAATATTTTTTACACTTACAAATCATTATTCAACATAAAATTAATCAATAAGTTATTAGTGTATTGATTTAATGGGACACGATACATTTTAATACCTACTAAAATCATGCGGTGATAATTTTTTGATGTGCAATTGATGGAAATAGGATATCTCACTCATGATTTGGTAATTTGATTTATAACCTATAAAATTACAAAATTTTATTTGTATAAAAAATGCATAAGATAAATTACTAGTTTATGTTAATTTCAATTTGTTTCTTGAATGTTTACTTCCAGCTATTCCCCTGATTTTTAGTAGTAATCCATTTATTTATTTTGTAGTTATCTGTTAGGTTTGTCCCGATACTTATAAATTGGACTTATCTCCCAATCTAAATACTCCGAGTCTAAATTGATGTAATTATCTCCATCACTAAATAATAGAACACTGATTTCTCCAACATAATAAAAATTACATTTAAAGTGATGTGTATATTTTTATGAAAGAACTCAAAGCATTATGGATATAGTTATATAATTTTATTACGAAGATATGAAAGCAATTAAGTGAGCATTAATATTTTGAATTTTCACTATTTTAGCATAGTTATTTCTTTTCTAAAAAGTAAATAAACTCTATCACGACATTATAATAATTTCAAAGAAATTATATGGTGGATAATTAAGGATCTCATCATATTAATTAAATTTTGATTAGGATTACATCATGTTAAATTAGATACGTGCATCGTATTAATTGTCATTATGTTTTAGTAAATCAGATTCAGTTAATGAGATGTTATATTGGCAATCTTATTTTGTGGTTATATTTTGGTATACTATATATGTTTATAATTTATTGAAAATAGCTATTTTCATCTTACTGCAAAAATATGTAGTATTAAACTTTTCGTTGTCCTTTTGTAAACTAATTTTTTTACCTCAAAAAAGACAAAGAGTTATGTGAAAGGACTATTTAATTGTCACGTAGTCACACATAATTGTCGTATATGAAGTTGAGTAGATTAATGGCAAAATATGGCTTTTTATATTTTTTCCACAAGTAAGCTACTTGGAAGTGTTTCGATTTGTAGCATTTTGAAAAGCAACGGATGAAACAAAAAATCTATTTCAAAGTGATATTAATTAATCATTTTATGATTTTTAAAACGAACCGTTATTTTGTTTAAATCGCTAATTCTTTAGTAGTATTTTTGGGTAAGTGGTAATCGAGCTACTCGAACTCGAGTCGTTCTCTAAGGAAGACTATTCGGACACGGATTCAAGCAACGATTAACGCACACGAAAGAAAATTAAAAAGTCCTAAACACTCTACTCGCAATTTGGGGTTTGGATTAAGCTAAAGAACGCAAATTTAAACTAGACTAAAGCAAGGTTGGAATTCTAAAGCAAGCAAGTCCTCAAATTGCACGAAAAAGGAAAATGGAAAGAAAAATAACAAGGTAACTTAAGACCCGAGATGGAAAGAAGACACTCATAGGTTCGAGAACATGCAATCAAGCAATCGTCACTTGCGATCAATTAATCGAGCTATCAATCGTTCTCGCTCACGCAATTAAGCTCACACAATCAATAACAAAATCACATAATCCCTAACCTACGAGGATTAATGCATATTCTACTCATGAAAACTCTTACCTTTACCCTAGAATGAATTCAATACATAAAGACAAAACAAAACTCACGAGATCTAGGACCTTCAACTAAGTCTCCGATTGAACCTTAAACGAAGTCTCCAAGTCTCTATTGCATCCACGAGAAGAAATAAGCCAGAAAGTTGTAATCTTTATGGAGAATTATTACAATAAAAATTAGGGTCTTGGAGCCCATAGAGAGAGAAAGAAAACTAGAGAGAAGGAGGAGAGAAAAACTAAAAGGAAAAATTTAGCAAATGAGGAATTGTTCTCATCAAGTCTATCTATAGCTACACCACAAACACACACTAAAAAATACACATTTAATGAGGAAAACTCGCAGGTAAGCTCAAACTCGCGAGTTTTGGGTTAGATTTCGCGAGCTCGGTCCGCGGGCTAGGCAGGCATGGGCGCTAGACTCTCGATATCGTGGAGCAGGGCGCGAGGCGCGGGACTGGGCAGCCGCACTCTCGAGGTCGCGGAAGATCTTGCGTGGTCGCGAGTCCTGGTGCAGCAGACGGGGCACTCGCGGGCGCGGATGAGGAAACTCGCGGGTAGCAAGCACGGTCTTAGGAGGAGCTCGCGGGCGCGAGTCGTGGAGCTCGCGTGCAGTGGTGCGCCTGGGCGGACTCGCGAGCAAAGGGTGGCTTTGCGGGCGCGGAGCTCTGAACTCGCGGCTTGGGCGCTGGGGATGCCCGCTTCGGGGAGCGCAAACTCGCGTTCGCTGCGAGTGCCTGGGAGCCTAGTCCATGGGCGCGGCCTCGCGCCTCGCGAACAGTGGTTCGCAGCGAGCTCCCGGCGCGGCTCTTGACTTTGTCTCTCGAGTGATGACTCGTTTGGTTCGGTCAATGGCTCGGGTGGCTCGAGGCTAGCTCGGGTGGCTTGCAAATGGCTCAAAAAATGGCACGAACGACACGTCTTCCCAAAATTGCAAAGTGGACCTAAACAACACACCAAAAGAGACGCGAAAATACAAAAAAAAATACAAAAATACATAACGAAAACAAAAATACATAAAACACGACAAAATGAACCGGTTGACACTAAAACGAACCTAAAAAACGACTCGACTAAGCACATAAAACACAATAAAACATGCACAAAAACATAACAAACACTAATTTGTAGCCCAAACGTCATTTACCAAATATTATCAATGCCTTCGCACTTTCTAATGTGAAAAAAAAAATTATTAACTAGCGTTATGGAAAACATAATATACATTTACAATAAGATGAAGAAACTTCACTCCCTGTAACTTATATGAGCTTATTTATGCAGTGTACTACATATTGAGTGATTTACAATATTATATATTAACTAGTAGCATTATATAGTTGTAAATGAGTAGTGGATATTGAACTTTTGAAATTGAAATGACAGAGAAATCATATTCTTAAAAAGAATGCTACGTTGTCAACTTAGTGTACACAATACAAGTAAAAACATCCATAAAAATAAAAATAAAAAAATTCACAAATGGATGTTTCCCACTTGTGTTTTCAACCTAGTTGTACATTAGGTTGGCTATGTATCATTTTTCTATTCTCAAACTCAATGAACTTGGTTGAGCAAAGGTTAAATAGTTAACAAAAGGTTGAGTTTGGTTCGTAAAGCTAACAAGCGAATTCATCGATTCGTTTTATCTGGTTGATTTTTGTTAGTCAACTAAGCTTGCTTATAGATTATTTGGTTAGTTTATAAGTTTATTGTATTTAAATAAGTTTCGTTTGGTAAGACAAGCTTTTCTAAAAAGCTCGAATTTATCTCATAAGCTTCTTTGGGTAACTTACCAAATAAGCTCGTTGATTTTTTTTTTTCAGCTAGCTTATAGCTAATTTTACCAAACAATTTTATCATATAAACTAGTTTTTCAAATATAAGTCATAAGCTATAAGTTCGAAAATTACTGATAAACTATAAACTATAGTGTTTTAACAGTTTTAGAAGAATAACAATTGTTGTATGGTCAATACTATTTCTTGATTTATATATATTAATGTTCATTGAGTATGCATTGTTTCTATATGAGCTTATTTGTTCAATGTACTATTTTGCGATTTATATATTAGCTATACCAGCACCATAACATAATTTTTTTTTATGAAAAGAAATTTTATAGTCTTTTTAATTTTNATTTATTATTATATATATGTAAAATGATACACTTCACTAAATTACTTTACATATTTTAAAAAATTGCCCTTAAATTCACATACTCTATATTATTAAACAAAATTTCAGATATGTTGAATTTTCCCATTTTAGAAAATTTAAAATAAATGGAATTTCTTTCATTTCTCTGTAAATAAAAAAAAAGGGCCAAAAGATGCAGTACCACTACTGTGTGTCTGGCACACCTTGCTAGGTGTGTCAGGGCAATTATGCAGGCGCCTAATCACTCCCAAAAACCAAAAAAAATAGAGAGTGTAGTACACATGCCACTTTTTTTTTTTATTGAAAATATCATTAATGATTTATATTAAAATAAAAAAATAAATATACTAAAATTCATAAATTTTCATTGTCTATAAATAGAGACCAAATTTGATAGGTTTTTTTTAACATAATTAATTTATTTTTCGTAATCAATTTATTATACTGACATAGGATGAACATGTTACATAATAAGATTAATATGTTATCAAATAAGATGAACATGTTACGGACATGTTCATCTTATGTTATAACATGTTCACCTCATTTTGTAACATATTCATCTTATTTTATAACATGTTCATCTTATTGTGTAAATATGTAACATGTTCATCTTATTCTATAACATGTTCATCTTACTATGTAGCATGTTCATCTTACTATGTAACATGTTCATCTTATTCTATAACATCTTACTATGTAACATGTTCATCTTACTAAGTAACATGTTCATCTTATTATGGATTTGGGTCTTCATTTTCCAACAAAATAAATTAATTGTGAAAAGTGATAAATTAATTGTATTCTAAAACTTATTAAATGTGGTCTTTATTTGTTGAGAATGAAAAATTATAAATTTTGATATTTTTATTTTTATTTTATAATATAAAATATGAATAATAAGTTAATATATATAATATGATATATAAAATTCATTATCCAATAGAAATGAGACATATGTCCCATTTAAAAGAAAAAAATTTACCATGCGCTTTTTTGAGGGATTGTATTTCATTACGATGTGTGCCAAGGCGCACCTAATAATTATTTGTGCAAAAGATGATAGTATGAATGTTGTTATTGTAGTTCAAATTAAAATGAAGGATATAAGAAATATTGAAAAGTCAAATCAGATTTACATGATTATAGTGCTGCAGTAACAATTGGTGCCTTAAATCAAGCATCATTCTTGCAGTCCAATTCCATCCCATCCATTTAATGCCCGAAAAACAATGCAATCATTATATTTCTTCTCTTTTTTTACAATATTTTTTTCCTACGCAAATTTCATGACCAATCCCAGTGTCATGCCGTTTCTATTCATTTTTTCCATTGAGCGTTTTTTTGTTTCACAAACAGCTGTTGCTTGAGGTGTTTAAAATTAAAACCATTGATTTAAAAATCGGCCCAGCGGAATCGGTCAGGCGGGTTTCGGCGCTCCTAGGCGGACTTGGCGGGCTCGGCGACCAGGTGGTTAAGCGAGCATAGGCGGACCTAAGCTCTTATAGACGGGCTTGGCGACAAATTTTCAATTTTTTTCCTTTTAAACACTAATTACATTAATATTTTATTCTCATGTTTTCTTTAATATATAGTAATATTATTATTTGGACTCATGTATGTGGATTTATTAAGTTGAGATAATCTATTTTGTAGATAGTTAAAATAAATAAAAAATAAAGTATTTAATATTGATTTCTAGACGTTGCCTAGATCCCGTCTAGGCATTAGGCGCTGGTCGAGCGCCTATCGACTTTTAGAATACTGATTAAAACACTATTGTCATACAAAGAATTTAGAATTACCAAACTTACTTAAAAAAAAAATGTGAGGAAGATTTAGGAAATACTATTGTTACATTTACTCTAAATTACTAGAGGCATGGAACAGTTGGTTTGTGCAGTCACGGTAATTAGAAAACAACTTTATAATTTTTTTTATTATTGAATCAACACATAATTACATAAATATATATTAATTCAACACTAAAAAATTTAATTGCACGGTCAAATTATATAGTTAACTAGTTGATCTTTTTGTTCTTCTAAGGGCCTAACAACTCAATCTTTATAAACTTCGGCGGATCCAGAAATTTTTACGAGACAAGATAAAAAATAGTTGAATTTTTTTTTAACCATTGACAAAGTACTTATATTAATAATTAATAAAGTGTTGAATCAATCGGGTCTTGATGGGTTCCCTATTCAATATGTCTTTGAATTGATGCTAAAAACTGAAATGGAGAATGAAGTCTGTTTATTTGATTTCACGTTTTAATTATTATACAAAAAATATTATACAATCCCGTTTTCATAATTTTTTGTGTAAGTTACATGTAAACAATTCATTTTGAAATAAAATTTATTAATTGAAAAAAAAAGCCTAATTGTCATCATTTTAGGTTATGTCATTTTATGAAGAGTTCCTTATAGGTTATCTTCTTACATATAAATGTAGAGTTTTTTTTAATCCATGTTTATTAGAACTTTCAAATTTAAACCCTTGGCTAACTTAAATTGTAAATATTCTTAAAAGTTAATAACATTTATATTTGTTATCAATTTTTATTTACTATAAATTAAACTAATCATATTTTGACGATCTATAGTTTGACATTAATATCTTATATATAATTAAAAAAAATTATGTCAATCATCTCCCTATCAATAAAAAATTAAATATATATTAACTATGACTGAAAAACAATAAATTTATCAATCAAATCTATTATATATTATAAATACTAAAAATTTTTTAACACAGTGCATTCAAACTTGACAGGTGAGGTGTATCATTTTGTATAAAAAATTAATATTATTTTGTAAGAATTATTTTAAATTTTAAAATTAGAACTTGTATTTATATTTATATTTCAATAATAATCCTCACTAATGAAGATAGAAATGGATGTTTTGAGAAAAAATGAAGAGTTAATATGAAAAGACGTAGTATATTTATTAGCTAAATAAAGGTAATAATGGAAAAATATGAACAAAAGATCCAAAACATCATTTATTTAATTAATTGTTGATAAAGTTAAAATGACATTTAAAAAAAAACGGAGGTAGTATATTTATATATTATCTTACATTTAAAGTGAATTTTACACATTCACGTATTTTTTTGTCATTCATTGTCATCCAATTACATTAAAATAGCTCTATTATAATTTCATTTAATTGAGAAGAAATATGATACAAGAGAAGTTTGTGTGCCATTTTATTGGTTTGTTGAAGGAAAAAAAATGTTTTCGATGTAGACGAGGAAAAGGGTGTACTCGGGCAAGGCATATACTATAGGGCGGCGCTTTTATTTCTTTTAGCAGCGGCGGCTTTGTGACTTCCCTTCGTTTGATGTCTTAGATTTTGCTTCTCATCATTTATTGAAATCTAAATATTATTTCCGTTGGTTTTGTGCAGGCTTGTAAACAACCTGAGTCGAGTTCGAGCTCGAGCCCTTCATGAGCCGAGTCGAACTCGGTTTATTAAATAAATAAGTTTGAAATTGAGTTTGAGTTCGGCTTATTTATTATTATTAACGGTATGAGTTCGAGTTTTAACGAGCTGATTTCGAGCTTTAAAAAATTGAATCATAGAATATTATATAAATACTTTCTTTTCGAGCCTTAACTAACGAGCTTTAAATGAGCTCGAGTTCGACCTGTTAATCAAACGAATCGAGACGAATTCGAGTCTTAACGAGCTGAGCTCGAGTCGAGCCAAGTCAGACTCGTTATATTTAACAATACTAGTCTTGTACTAGTTTTTGTGTTAGAGTGCTAACAAACTTAACTATTAGACCCATTATACTTTTCTAACAAATATACAATTTTAATTAGGAGATGTTATATTTACAAAATAATATGAACAAAGTATGACATTCAATAAAATAAATATAATTTTTTATTCAAATAGTATGAAAAATCTACTTACCTAACCTAATGGTTAGAATGTGTTGAGTTGAGACATGAAGGTGTAATACTGTTATGTAATGTTAATGTAAATACTAGAGTGTTGAAAGAATGTCTTGTAAATTAAGTCCCAGGCATTTGGTAGCTGTTGATGTCTATTCAGCTGTCTATCAACCTTACAATAATTAATGCACTCTGCAAATGCCTATGCCTTTCACGGTTCTCTACATCTGGAGTTTTTCATGCCCATTAGGCAATAAGCTTAATTATTACTACTTTAATTACTTGTCATTCATTTGATCTATTTCTTATTTCTGCCAAACATGCCATGTTGGCTATTGCTACTAGATTTAGCCCCATATACATTATTATATCTATCTTTATCCAGATTGAAAATCCTGATAAAATGTAATATTGGTATATGTGAATTTGAATATTAAAAGAAAATGAAATGGACAAACTAAATTTAGTTTGTGCTTGACCAGCACACACCACCTACTACAGTACCATTAGCATTTACATCTCAAGAGTAAGGACAAAATTGGTTAAATATCCGTGCATTTAGTATTATGGATAGCCGGTCTGAAATGAAATGGTACGTCATATTTTATAATCACAATCTGGATAGTAGATAACGGGCCTTCAAATTTCAAACTAAGTGAGCGTCATATTATTACATGCAGCAGTTGAAATACATTTACTAAAGTTCATGTGTTCACTCCCACCTAAAATTGATCATCATCCAAACCCAGACTTGATCAAATATTCAACTCTTAACAAATTTTCAAATTTTCTCTTTAAAAAAAAAAAAAACCTTCACCACAATTTGTGCTGCAATTCCTAGCCAAACCACTAAAATTACCTAAGTTTTGATCCACATCACACACAAACCAGTTTGCTCAATAAATATAAAAACAAATAGAGCGGCCAATTTTGTNTGATCCAATTCCAAACTCAGCTCCGGCAACCCCTTCCCGGCCAGAGTCGAGTCCTCCGGCAGCCAAAACCCCTCAAATAGTGTCCCTCCCCCCATCACAATACCACTCGCCGTCCCTCAGCCGGTCTCCACTCCTAACCCCCGGCGGCAAAAACCCGAGAACCCCAAGAATCCGAACCCCAAATTTCATAACTCCGTTAGGCAGCCCATTGAGGAAAGCCATTCGGCTCACGAGGCTCGACCCTCAAGACGCGTGGCTCCCGATAACAGAGTCAAGAAATGGAAACGCGTACTATGCCGCGTACCATACTCTTTGCTCGGGTATCGGGATTCAAGCACTTGTCCTCCCTGTTGCCTTCACAATTCTTGGCTGGTAATTAATAATCAGGGAAATAGCTACAGAATCATTCCATCAGCATTATTAGCCTTTAGATATATATGTAGATTAGTATAGTGTAGATAATCTATAGTTAAAACATATTGACAGAATGATTTTGTGTAATATGTTTTTAACATTTTAACACATATATTTTCTTGATTAAAATTTTCAGGACATGGGGCATAATTGGCTTGACACTGGCCTTTATATGGCAACTCTACACTCTGTATTTGCTTGTGCAGCTCCATGAATCCCCTGAAGATGGAGTTCGATACAGCCGATACATGCAGCTAGCTAGCGCGACGTTCGGTTAGCACTTTGCACCAAAAAATTGATCTTTTAATTATCATTATTATTATTTTCATTCTATATATAACATGCATGTACTAATTTATCTTTGGATTTCAATCAAATCGAAATTGATTTTTGCAGGGGAGAAGCTATCGAAACTCATAGTGGCATTCCCGATCATCAACCTCTCGGCTGGCACGTGTGTGGCCTTGATCGTGATCGGGGGTTCGACTTCTAGAATGTTCTACACGACCCTCTGTGGGCCGACAAGACCGTTGAGCAACGTCGAGTGGTACCTTATCTTCACATGCGCGGCTGTTGTGCTTTCTCAGCTGCCGAATTTGAACTCCATTGCCGGAGTTTCTTTGATCGGAGCTCTCACGGCCGTTGGATATTGCACCGGCATTTGGGCGGTGTCGGTGGCCCAGGGCAGCCTTCCCAATGTCTCCTATAATCCCGTCACCTCGTCGCGCGCTCAGCTGTCTCAGATTTTCGACGTCATGAATGCGCTCGGGATTATTGCTTTCGCTTTTCGAGGCCATAATCTCATTCTTGAAATTCAGGTTAATTATCATCCTAAATTTTAACGCATTTTTGTCCAAACAACCATTTAGTGTATCAAAAATATTCTCTGGATCATAACCTATTGCATTCATGATTGATATATATGTTTAACTGAAATCAAATTTAATTAACCAACTTGAATAAATATCATGTGTAATTTTTTGATTAAGTTAGACAATCACATATATTTGAACATTTTGGAAAATAAAATTTCCAAAATGACTTTTGTGAGTGGTTTAGCCGAAAAAGAGGACATTCCTAATTTNAAAAAAAAAAGAAAACCTGAGTTTACCTTACAAATCCGTAGTCATTTATACTTAGCAGCCTTCACACACACACATACACACACACACATATATATATTATTTTTAAAATTCCATAAAAAGAGCTGCAATTTTGACTTATACAGGCGACAATGCCATCTAGTGAAAAACATCCATCAACTATACCAATGTGGAGAGGCGTCAAAGCTTCATATTCCATAATAGCGACGTGCTTATTTCCATTAGCTATTGGTGGCTATTGGGCTTATGGTCACATGGTACATTCATACAATAATATTCATCTCCAACTTATTTTTTATTCAACATGAAAATTATTTAATATATATATATATTTTCGGCATCATCAACAGATTCCAGCTAATGGCGGCATGTTAACAGCCTTGTACGCATTCCACAGTCGAGACATTGGACGGCCAATTTTAGGATTAATAAGTTGTTTCGTTATAGTTAATGCCTTAAGCTCGTTCCAATTGTATGGAATGCCAATGTTCGATGATATGGAGTCCAATTATACGAGGCGGTTCAAGAAGCCTTGCCCGTGGTGGCTTCGGGCCATTATACGGGCCTTTTTCGGGTTCGTGTGCTTTTTTATAGCCGTGGCCGTTCCATTTCTGGGCAGCGTGGCGGGCTTGGTAGGGGGAATTTCGTTGCCAGTGACTTTGGCGTACCCGTGCTTCATGTGGATTAAAATGAAGAGGCCCAAAAAGTTTAGCCCAATGTGGTGGGTTAATACGTTGTTGGGCCTTCTAGGGATGGGCTTGAGTTGTATTTTGACTGCTGCGGGTATATATGTTGTGGTTGACACGGGAGTTCAAGTGAGCTTCTTCAAACCACAATGAAAAAAACAAAAANGAGTTTTCTTTAATCAAGTTGCTGTTTTGGAAAATATAACCTGTTTAAATGTAATAGTGTAATATTTTATCTCTCGAAAGCCCACAACTAAAGAAAAGTAGCTAGGTTTGATTAGTTGTTGTTTTTTTCTTTTCCCTTAAAAAATCAAATTAGGAGTTGGTGGGTAATACAGAGTCTGCTACAAGCCTACAATTGAACCTTATTTGTTCAAAACTGATCAATTAAAGAAGATCCTCGTCTCCTCAACGACTTGGAAAATAATTGTCAAAAAAGCAAATATGTGACATATCAAAATGAATATATGATAGAATAGTTAATTGGACTGAAGTTACGCGCATTACTGTGGTATTCGAATTAACAATACAATACATTCAATATAGTTTTAAACTTTTAATTCATTTTATTTTTAGTTGTTTATTTCATATCAATGACTACACCTAATTATATTAGTGAATGCATGCTTATCAATATTGCACTGTTTAGTCAGCACATTTGACTCGTGCCGTTCAAAAAGTTTACTTAAAAGTTCATCGACAGTCTTCATCTATATATGTAAACGGAAAAAAAAATCCAATATTCCTAAATTATATTATGAATGTGCTGCCTTAAGATGTACTAATTATTGATTACAATTTACATGTTTAGAAATATGAGACTAATAAATGTATTATTCCTCATACAGTCATACTCTTTCCCATGGTTTCATAAACTGCTCATCCTCAAATTTTCTTTTCTATTGTATGATTATTTGTGAATGAAGCAAATAATTTCACCGCGTATAACAATATATCATTAAAAGGCGTATATGACGTCATCTTGCTGAAGTCACCGAATATTACATCATATCTGTACTGTACGTACTTCGGTTCATCCACTCACTCAAAATAATTTCTCGCTTATTTCTCCATAGACCGAGAAGACCATGCACCGTAGACCGAATAATATACCGGACGCCTTATTTAATTTAGTCCTCATAAAATTGCATCAATCGCTGCTTGCTTTCTCACTTTTAATTTTTTCAGTGGAACATATTTAATTACCATATCATGAAATGATATCTTAAAAAATTAAAATTGGAAATGGATGAGTCGAATAGACCTATCAACATAGAACAAATCAATTCAAGCCAAAAAATTATATGTCAAATAATTAAAAACCAACAACTAAAATTAGAACAAATCAATTCAAGCCAAAAAATTATTTATGTCAAATAATTAAAAACCAACAACTAAAAGTGGAAGCATATATGAATTCATGTTTTAAGAATTACCCTTCTTTCATTCATTGTTTTTTCTTTTTTTTTTTTTCAATTATTGTTATGAGTATGTATTTTCAAACGATCGAACTTGTACAATAAATTTATTTTAGCATCATTGGTATATGTTGCTTGAATTGTTTTGTGTTGTATATCATGTTATGTATATTATGAATGTCGTAGTATTTAAAAGGTGAGAAACTGTCTTCTCATAAATCTACTCGTACATTATTGTCATTTGGGTTTATAATTAAATATAATAGCTACATAAAAAAAACAATTTCATAATGATATCTACACATTTAAGTCCATATATCTAGATGCTCTTTTTATTCAAAAGCGTAAATTTAAAAACTCACTTTAATTTAATCATATTATGACAACGCTACATATTTGATTTACATATTTTAGTCAAAATAATTTTTTCTAACATATATTACTAATACATCGAATAATATAAATAATTGCATCATTGCTTGCATTTCATTGATGACGTACACGGATGACATACCCAAAGTACGCATTTAACCTCGCACATGTATATATATATATTGCTCATATACCTAAATCCTCATTAACATATATACCAACAATAAATAAAAAATAAAAAAAGTCGTCGATCATTTGCCATGCCGGAGTCTACGAACATCCAGCTCGAGCGGATGGTGTCCTCGTTGAGGAAATCCGACGGAGACCAGAAGCCACGTCATAAATGTGCTGGAAATGTTTTCCGGCGAACACAACCCGCTCGACCGGTGGCTTCCGATCACGGAATCAAGAAACGGCGGCTGCCTGGCGGCGGCGCTTCACCTGCTGAGCTCCGGGATCGGATATCAGGCGCTTCTACTTCCGGTGGCTTTCGTTTCTTTGGGATGGTATCATTTTAATTTTATTTAATTGATTGTAAGTGCCATATTGATTTAATCGTTCATTTAATTAATTTCCTGGGGTGTGTGTTTTTTGTTTTTTTATTAACAATGAATTGTTAATTCAAGAATTACAATCTCAACTGATTATTATAATAATTAATTAGTGGACAGTGATCTTAAGGTCAATTTCAATGGTTCAGATCAGTTTCAAAGTCAAGAACTGTGGAACCTCGAACCTTCTGATATAAAATTATTAAGTGAAACACCAAGATTGCATCTAAAGACCTGGACAAGTTAAATTACAAAAATATTGTTGTTGTGCGTTAATAGTTATTTATTAGGTTTGTCCCTTCATTTTGAAACTATATATATTAAAAGAATGCAATATATAAAGTTAATGAAATTAGAGCTCAACTTGGTTTATCGTTAGACCACCCACAATGTTTTGAATTTCTTACAAAAAAATCATATGTCATGTAAGAAATAGTCTTATTCGACTAAAAAATCAAATGGAATTCGTTACAGTAGATATCTTCACCTCTCGATTCTCGCCTTTGGTTAGTATATATTCTTCATCATTTTTCATAAAACGAAAATTCTTTCGTGAGACAGTCTAACAATTAGCCAAATCGACAAGTCATACATTCTAAACAAAACTACATACTTATACTTTTNATTTTCAGGTGAAAGATTGGGGAAATTGCTAGGGCTATTCCCAAATGTACCTATCAACTGGGACATGTATAGTGTACATAATCAATGGAGGCACAACTGTAGAACTATTCTTCCAATCCATTTGTAACGATAACGATCATTCAACTCCAAAACGCTAACCGGAGCCGAATGGTTCTTGATTTTCATATGCTTATCCGCACTCACGGCTCAGTTTTTCCCTAACCTCAACTCTCTAGCTATTGGGTCCGTCACGGCTGTTTTCTATTGTTTCCTTCTGTGGATTATCTCTCTCGATAAAGGAAGAGTACACGAGCAAATGGATGTCAATGATATTATCATCGATGGCTCGGGATTTCGCAACGTTTTGACTGGGTTGGGGATAATAGCTCTTGCTTTCAGGGGACATAACCTCGTGTTAGAAATACAGGTAATTTTCGGAACGTGTGTATTTATTTCGAAACATTGATAAGTACATTGTGATTTGATTTGATACTCAATCTTGCATCTTGGAGAGCTATCTTAAGAGTAAATTATATGTTCAAAAACTTGGTTGTACTTTAATTTTAGATGAAGTGTGCTAATGATGTAAAATAAGTAAATAACCCTTTTGCTTATTGAATTTACTGCAGGGGACAATACCCACAAACAGGAAAAAGCCGTCAAGCAAGTCTATGTGGAGAGGAGTAACATTTTCATCCCTAATTATTGCTATGTGTATGTATCCAATTGCAATACTTGGACATTGGGCTTATGGAAATAAGGTAAAAATCTTCGAATCAAACCGAATTTCCCTACTTATAAAGTTTCTACAAGTGTCAAATATTTACTTCTGATCTTTTTTTGTTCAGATATCATCGAACTTAGGCATCCTTACCTCATTTGTGAATTTCCATCATGAGAGCACATCCAAGTATCTTACGGGTGCAATATGCCTAGCAGCTATAATCCACTACATTTGCGCCTTCCAGATGTACTCAATGCCTGCGCTTGACAACTTTGAGCGCATATATGTAACCGAGAAGAACAAACCTTGCTCTAGGTGGGTCCGTGCAGCCATTAAGGCCTTGTTTGGAGGATTTACGTACTTTATGTCTGTGGTTGTGCCTTTCTTGCCGAGTTTGGGCTTGTTTGTTGGGTCGATGGCCTTGCCCTTGACCTTGTCCTATCCGTGCCTAATGTGGGTCGCCATCAGAAAATCGGCCCGGTTTAGTAGGATGTGGTGCCTTAATGCTGGGCTTGGTATTGTAGGCATAATGTTTTGTGTATTGAGTAGTGTTGGAGCTATGTGGTCCTTGATAGCTGATGGATTAGATGCAAATTTCTTCAAGCCCAAATGATACTCTCAACACATAATTGTACAAAATACATTCCCTTGAAAAAAAATGCTAGTTGTGCTCTTCGGGCTACAAACGAGTCGAGCGGCTCATGAGCCGTTCTCCAGTACTCGAGTCAAAGCTCAACTCGAGCTCGAGTTTGACCGAACTCGAGTCAAGCTCGAGCGGCTAGAGTATGTTATCAAGTCGTCTTGAGTCCAAATTTTCAAAGGTCGAGTATGCAGTAAAATACTTAAATACCATATATATATGTAATTCACAAAATTGTCATAGGTGCATAATTTATAGCTGTCAAGCCAAACTCGAGTCGATCTCGAGCATTGAACCAATATCGAGCATTGAGTCGATCTCGAGCATTTCTATTTGTTTATCGAGTCGAGCTCGAGCGTCATTTTCATGGCTCGTCAAGCTCGAGCAATGAAAAATTATCTATACTTGACAAGGTCCACGCTCGACTCGGCTCAGCTCGTTTGCAGCCCTATATTCTCTGCAATGAATTTTTCTTACTCTGAAAGCTATGATTTCTTCGTAAACTTGCACACTTTGAGAACAACAAACTTAAATTAGATAAGGCATTTTATTGCCAATGCACCAACCAAAGTTATCCCAATTACAACAACATCATAGAGTTAGTTATCCATTACAAAAGGCCGCCCCTAACGGTAAACACAAGACTCGAGTTTTGTAAAGTTGAGAGGCTTCCCCAGATGGTTACCTCTGAAATTAAACGCACATAGCACATGTCGGTAAAACTTTGTCTTGACGAGCTTCCCCAGAATGTAAGCTCTTGATCTCATCACGAACGTTAGGTTCAGAGGCACAGACGTGCTTTCGAGATGGTCTTTAGCACTAACGAACAAAGGCATTCCTCCATAAAGTGGCACTTGATGCCCTTGAACCAAAGCTATAACCCTCCGTTGGCTCTTTCTCGATTGATAAAACTTGTTCATCTGCTCCACTTGTTCGAAAACAATTAGAATGTACATTGATTAGAAGAACTAGAAAAAGAGGGTACAGGGAAGTAATGAAATTTACGTGACCCGAAGCAATTTTGAGGCCCAAATAGTGAAGCTCAAGAGGGGTGGAGGTGACGTGGACGCCGAAAAAGGTGGCCGGATTCCGGTAAGAAATAGCCACCGTGGAATTCAAGGTCAACATATCCGTTGGTACACCGGTGGGGTCCATCCCAGCTTGAATTTTGAAATCCCTAAAAGAAATGCTCTGCACAAAAACACCACCAAAAAAGGTATACAGATTTAACTATACACTGACAAAAGGCCATTGCTGTATTATTTATGACAGAGACCTAACACAAAGGAATCTCATCACCCACCATTACAATTTACACCATTACATCATAGGATGCTCTAAAGGTATAGCTGATCACAGATTAACATAATTTTGCCTCCCATCACAAGAATCAGAATCCTTTTGCCTCTTTAGAGAAAAATGGAACCGTTTAACTGGGGAATTCTTTGCATTTGCTCGAAGCGAAGGAAAAGTCAAAGGTAAAAAGATGAAATTTTGCAGACATGGAGACATACTTTGAGGGCTAAAAAGATGACCCTTTTCAACTTAAAAGATGAGTCCCACAAAGGCACCTCCAAAATAATTTTTTTTTTTTCTTATAAAAAACTCTACTTCTTTTTGCTCAAAAACGAGTAAACGAGTCAACTCAAAACATCTAATCATGACTGTCACTTGTGACCTGCCCAAACACACATTATGATTTTAGACAATACAATACTCCCTGAGTTAACTCAATGAGTTCACACGAAAACAGGACAAAATCAACGAGAAAGTAAGAAACCCCCAACAAAACATGAATAAAAATTGAATCTTGGACCGACCTTCACGACAATCCTCGGCCTGTAAGCCAAGCTTGCGCCCCACAGAATCAACGAGAAGATCGAAAACAGGACAACAAACGCCAACACAAAACAGACCGCATAAAACCTCAGTTGCCCGCCGGCGGCCTCCCCGTCGTCTCCGCCGTCTTCCTCCTCCTCCTCATCGATCTCGCTGTACTTCCTCTGCATGAGGCGCCAGCCGCCGGCGGCGTTTTTGGGGTTCTTGAGGGAGACGGAGAATCTGGAAGTGGAGGACTCGCGCGAGTGGTGGATGGGAGAGCAGTGGTAGTGGAAGTGGTGGTGGGCCGGCGAGCCGAATGGGCTCGAGCCGTAGGACATCTTCTCGAGGTCGTTGTGGGAGTGCGAGGGGCTCTGCACGTAGTACAGCGGCCGCCGCGGCGAGCGCGGCGGCGTCGACGCGTCGATGCTGGTGACCTCCGAGTCGGTTTTCACGTGCATTCCCACTCCCATTGTGTGTGTGTGTGTGTGTGTGTGTTTGTAGGTGTAGTCTTCTTAATTTCTAATTTTGCTTTTCCGGGCTAGGAGAAGAAATGGTAAAGTTTGTATTTACAGTGGATATTTATGTGCGAGTGTTGTACAGTACATTGGCTTCTTTGATTCTTTCATTGTGTTCGAGGTGGGGAAAGAGGACAAAATGAATAATATATATAACAATGATGCTAACTGCTAAAAGCAACATCATGGCTTAGAGCCTTAGAACATACATATTTTTCTAAATTAAATTAAAAAATGCCATGCTATAAAATTCAATACATACAACACTATATGAG